CCTGAATGCGTTTTCTTCGAGACCCACCTATACTTCGACCGTTTTCCGGCCATCAGCAATCGTATAACGTTCTTTCTGTTGGCTAACTTCTTCAACACGGCAGCTTCAAGTTTCAAAACGCCACTGTCGTCCTCGACTATCGCCTCAGCCTGAACATCACGCTTGGCCTGGCCTTGCCGGGCTGTCGGACTGGCCCTACCTTGAGTGCGGCAATGTAGCCCTTCCTTTGAAGATCTTCGACTTTGTACACGCTGCCACAGCCTCCTGCACCGAGTCGTGCAAGCACTTTCCACCGACCACAGACCACTTTCCCATTGGCGAACGCTATCGCATCGTTGCCCATAGGTCAGAGTGGTGATCCAGCTTGCGATGATCGTCAATTGAGTTGGATGAGTAGAACTGAACTACATAAGAGTTTTCATGATGCTTATATAGTGCGAGTTGTTTATATTTATATTACCAAAGCCTCTAGAGATATCCTAATGTCATGCTGTCCAGTACAAAAGTTAAAAGTGGTCGCATCAAATACCAGATACACACCAGATATCGCACCAGATATCTAAACTTGATATGCGATTTTCCAAGGTTTTTGATTCCTGCACTATGAAATTGTACTTTCATCAGACAGCTCAATAACCGTCGAAATAAAACGTCTTCAAGGAGTTCTAAAAGATGGCAGACAAATTCGTGGAACAAATGAGCCAGGAAATCCGCCCAATATGACTTCCGCATCTGGATCTTATTAAGGGGCCTATTGAAATGCTCAGATATACGGAGTTTCGATATGAGGTTTTCGAACAGGTTTCTGATTTCTTCCGCCCGAAGAAAGACCATGTGGCGGCAATGGTACATACAACTGAGATCCCCTTAGTGTCCATGTACGACTTCCATATATCCGAATATGCCTTCCCATTTGGGTTGAAATTCTTCGATCACGAAACAGCTTTAAGACGCGCCATACTTGATCCGCTTGATCCGCTTGATCCATTCGCTACTGGTCAAAT